AACTGTGATGGCTGTTTCTGATCTTGCCAAGCAGTACCACAAGTCTAAATATAATGTATCAATGAACAAAGCTGCGCTAAAGATGACTGATGTGGCTAAAGGAGTGACTATGTTAACGAAGAACATGTGTTAGAAGTTTTTAAAAAAAATCTATTTGTTAGCGTTCGCCAGAAAACGAACCACCTCCTAGGAAACAAGGTTAGTTGCGTATCCTTTACAGGACGTTGCAGAACCAACCCCAACAGCCCCTTGTTGTTGCGTGGTTTTTCTAGGCAAATTTACGCCTAGCAGTTTGTCATTGCTTTCTAGACGGTCGGCTTTCTTGATACCAATGTCGAAACCAACGCAAGGCGCATGGCCCGCAGCTGGGATTGAACCCGGCATCCCGGCATTAAGAAGCGTTCGCATCGACTTAGCCACAGAGCCGACCTAGGAAACAAACACGATTAAAATATCAGAAATACCTAGACAGTTTGCCCAGCGTTTAAGGAATGTTGGCGTCTAAGGCTTAGTCGTTGCAAACGCGCTTAGTAATGCCGGGATTACGGGTTCAGTGGTACAGTGTTAACGAGAAGCCCTCTGTCCAGAAGCAATGGCAAACTACTAGACGTAAACTTGCCTAGAGAAACCACAACAGTAAAAAAAAAAATGCTGGGGTAGGTTCTGGGATGGCCTGTAAAGGAAACGCAACTAACTTTTATAGAATCGGACCCTTCTTCGAAAGATTAGTCCTTATTCTCCTCCTCCTCCACCATCTGCCTGTGCCACAACGGTAAAGTTATACTGTATATTTTTTATTATATATTTTGCCACACATAAATCCATTAAAATGTCAAAAACATCATGTTTTTTGGAGGGAGAATGGATTAATTGAAATTTGCATTGATTTCAAAGAAAAAAAAAATTGTTTCGGCTCGCCAACAAGTCAGTTCGCCACCAGAGTCATAAAGAACAAATTAAGTTCGTGACCGGAGGTTTCCCTGTATATGTAGTTGTCTTCACAGATTTTCATTAATCCCTTTAGAAATATATGCCATTA